TACTGACTCTACGGCTCAACCGCCACAGATGCCATCTGTTGATGTACATTTCGTTAATCAATGAGAATAGAGCGTTAGTCTTTTAATGAGCACAAAATTAGATAGGTCAACGTAGTTCTCTGCAGAGTTATTTCTAAACAAGTTCAACTGGATTTTTTGCACCCCTGTCATACAAACGGGGGAGGAGATTTAACAATCTAATAGCACCTTTTTAAATGTAAAATAATGCAAGAAAAATTAATCGTCAGGGTTGATGTCTCGATAAATCTAAAGTTAACAGCCCGGGGATGAGGGGTAAGTTGGTCGGGTTTGTACTGCAATGCATTGTGGTATCATATGCATCGGCGTTACAAAAGCTAAAAATATTTTCGCTATAGTACGATGGAGCAAACGTTCTTCCTCATTTTGCAATGGTTTGGTAGCGATATGTTTCAAACAAATTTTCATGTCATGCCTAGCCTTTTTTGTCCTTAGAGGGCGTCAAGTCGCTTACGGCTGATATTCTGACAAAATTTAATCTCTGTGCACCTTAGGATGTATGAGTGCCGTGCAATTATTGTGATGCGCCACTATATTTAGCTACTTCGAGGGAACAGAGTTGTGAAGCGTTCAGCAACCGACTTGGACGCTTTTACGTCTCCAAATTACCCACTTCTAGCTGAGATGAGTATTGACGTAAACTTCCACCTCGCAAACATTCTTCATTACCCTGGTGAGAGCAAAAATCTCGTCGTCATCGACTCGCTTTGTCGCAACGTCATTATGCTGCGTATATTTCCCTCCATCACTACCGAAACTGTGAAGGCCCTCTTCAAGCCTCCTATCGAAGGTTTGTTGGTGTCACCGCGCTGGTCGTACCTTATATTCTCTCCTATCAAATTGAGCTTGCAAACAGGGCGTTACTCTCCATTCCTGTAGCCTTTTGTCTGTAGCATTTATCGTACAAAAATGGATCTATTCTGAACTTTGATTGAAATAGCAAAATATCAGTTACTTTTGTCAGTACCGGTCAAATTTTTCGGCTCTTATTTACTTGATTGGGCTTGTGCGCCTCATGACCATGATGTCCTTTTCTGAGTGACCACAATTTCACTTCCACTGGATAACTACAT